CCCCCCCCCCCCCGGAATTTGACCCTTTTTAAAGAGCATACACACTTACTATCCGTGATTTTAGTTACCCCCTATGCTTAATTTTTCGGATGTTATTACCCCCTAACTTGCCACATGACACTGAAAGTTGTTTCAAATGATTGAGTGTACGTGGGCAAGGGCGGATCCACCCCTTTAGGAAGGGGTGGCATGGCACCCGCTAAGATGATAAATTTTTTTTATACCTATGTTGAAATTTTCTTAAACTATGTTAAATATTTGATCCTGGCACCCGCAATCATAAACTAGACAAAGGTGCCATGACTGGTAGACCTTTTTGAAAGCTTTTCTCGTGTAAAATTCAAGTTTGAATTCATCTTGAACCTTGTCCAACTTCCCCTTTTATTCATGCTTTTTATTTCCTTTTGTTCAAGTCATTTCCCTTTTTGGCTGCCTCCCAATTTTCTAATTGTCATTGTACTATTTTTCTATTTTTCTTTTCTCCATTATATTATTTTATATGTGGTCTCTAGCAAAGACACTCAAAAAAGGGACTTCAAAACTTTAAATTATACATAAAGTAAGCATTCCTCTTAATCTTAAATTTATGAGTTTTCTTCTTTCAAATCCGAAAAACTTGGGTCTTACTCTTAATGGGAATTTTGGATTGTGATCAAATTTTTTTCATCTTTTTTCTAAAATTTGTGTTATTATATGATTATTAAATATAATTTAAATCTCTTTGGAGTATTAAATTTTGATGAAAATTTCGTAAGCATTGCTTACAAAAAAAAAATGAGATTATGATTTTGACTTTTGGGAACTTGTAGTTTATTTAACTTTATACTTATGGGGTTAATTTATTTATTGAACATTTTTTTAAAAAAAAAAATTCTTATTCTGATTGATGTAATTCCCTTATGGGAGATGTTATCTTACTTGTGTAAATTTATATTTAATCTACAGAAAAGATGTAATTTTCTAGTGGAAATGTTGATTTTACTAGTATTGTTATAATAAAAGGTGTTATTCCTTATTTAAAATGCCAATTATGTTTGATTTTTATATCTTAGATGTAATTTTTATATTTGCAAATACAAAATACCTATTAGGTTGACCCGAATAAACTCAAAAAAAAAAAAAGAATAAACGTTCCTAACAAATTTAACATTAGTCATTAAAAGGTATACATTTAAGGAAATTATGGCACCCGCAACCTTCAAATCCTAGATCCGCCTCTGCACATGGGAATGTATTTTTTTGCCAGTTTAATATTTCCCTTTCCCAATCCTTTCCCACAACGGTAACAACCCCCATTCTCACCCCTATTTATTCTCTTGTTTCTAATTCTTCACCATTTTTTTCTTTTCACTTTCTTCCTTTGTCATTCCAATTCCATAAAAGCCATTTTTGGCTCTTATTCTTGCCCAAATAACAACCATTTTTATTTGGAAGAAACAAGATGAATGTTTTTTTGTAGATGTGGCAAGCCGGCTCCTTTAAAAGTTGCATAGACTACTGCAAATCTTGATCGACGATTCTTTGGATGTAGTCTTTATCCGGCACCAAATTCTTATCGATTTTTTCAGTGGTATGAACCTTCATTTTCGGAGCAAGCAAATATTGTTATTCTCACAACCCTAAACTATTTTCAGAATATATTCAAACCCTAGTCACAAATCAAAGAAAAAATTTGACTATACATCATACTAAGCCCACACACCTTCAAATGTGGAGTGAAGAGTAGAAATTTAGCGAGAAAATCAAAGAAATCCAGTAACTTTTAGCTCCTCCACAGTCGGCTCTAATTTACCCTATAGCAAGATGACCTAGAACTTAGCAGCACCTCAACGAAAAATCAATCTATTCCCAAAATCAAGCTCAAGCACTCACAATTGTCTATGGGAGTGAAGTGGTGAGAAACCCTAGATTTTCTCTATGTTATCGACCAAATGAAACTGGTGGTCGATTGGGGAGATGGGTTAAATTTGAGGGGTTAATTGTAAATGCAGGTCGGGTATTTTAAAAGGGTACCCGAATTATTTCCACCGTGTACAACCACATCATCAAACATATCAATGTATAATGCGCGTGTATTCACGATACAAAGGTTTACTAGGTTAGGGGGGAGAAAGCATAGCATGTCGCAATAAAAGCTTGATTCGAGGCGTCAGCAAAACACTGCCGTCTGTTCCAAAAACAAAAGCCCCTTAGCGCCCCGGGACGGGAGTGGGGGACGACCCTACGCGCAGGCAATAGCAGCACCGGCTCTACGAAGTCAGAATCGAATCTTTCTCTGATAACATCCGAAAAATTAAGCGTGGTAATTAAAATCACGTATAGTTAAGGTATACTCTTATTAAAAAAGGCCAAGTTCGGGGGTCTTTAACTATGTATATATAATTATATAAATAATATGATTTATTTGAGAACACAAGTTTCAAAAGTTTTACAGCAATACAAATATGATGACATATTTAAGATTATATCTAAAGTATTATTTTCTCTGTGTATCAAGTCAAATGAGGATAAACAAATTGAAACTGAAGGAGTATTGAAATGGTTATCTCCAACAACCAAGAGTTTTTTGTTAACCCCTTTTAACATAACCTTTAATCTCATAACTGCTTGAGCATACAACTATAAAATCAAAAAGACTCCATCATTCTCTTCCCTTTTCCCTAACTTCTCTCTACACTTCGGTAGCTGTAATGAGAACGCATATCGACGAGGTAAAATGCCCTTCTCTCTCTACGCCACTGCATGAACTTTTCAGAGGTTGAAGCATATTTGATTTATTGTTGTTGAGAATTTCGTGTGTATTTTGGTTATTTTATTTTTTTGGCTGGCAGAAATTAAAAGCGTTGAAGAAGAGGTATGAGGATATAATAATTGAAACAAGAAAGGAGGCTTCAACGAGGATTATGATGTGGGAACAAAAAGCTCTTTGGTATCAGCGCGAGCTTCAACTTGCAAAACAAGAAGCCCTTCACATGCAGCAGCTCAGGCTCCAACAGGTACAATAATTTTTTATTTTTTTTAATTTATTTTATATTTTCTTGAAATGGGGTTTCGCGTTGTTTGAAGTTTCATTCAAATAAGGGAATTCTTAAGTTGTTGGGTGTAGAGTTCACAAGGGAACCGGTTTGCTGGGCAATCAAAAGGAGTAAGTGACTCCATCAAGGAGGAGCAATTTTGCAATGATGATAAATGATAAAAGGGAGAGGAGAGAGAATACGGAGATTATAAAAGCAGTGAAGAAGATACAGGTAGAAGGAAGAGATTAAAGAAGGTAATGGTAAGATGGGCTTCTTTGAAGATTCGAAGCACTCAAGGGTGTGATCTATTGGTCAATGACGTGGGAAGATAACCATAAGGTCTCATGTTCAAATTCCAGCTGAGGCAAAATGACACTAGGTTTTCTTACCATCTGCCTAAGCTTTGGTGGGAAGAGTTACCCGGTAACTATACTGGTGGGAGGTAGTAGGTACCCAGTGGAGTAGTCAAGGTGCACGCAAGCTGGCACGGACACCACCGTTAAAAAAATGGGGGAGGGGAAAGAGAAAATAATATCAGAATTGGTTGGGAAAAAGATTCGCGTGCTTCAGGAAATGGAGTATCCTTTTAGTATCTTTTAGGGCTTTGAGGAGAAGTAATGAACTATTTTCTGAAATAGAAAAATGGTGGCAGGAGGCGAGTAGGGAAGAGGAGATTGGAAGATTAGCCATGCTAGAAACAAATAAATATGAGGGAGTCAAATGTTGGAATGTTGTATCAACTGTAAACCTCGTGGGAAGTTCACAGGAGGGGGAGAGTGTGTGGACTACTAGTTATGGAAGCTACAATAGCATCTATGGAATGAAAATGCGTTAAACGATTCTAGTAGAAGCGTCATCATAAAGGCAGAGTCGAGAGAGCGTGAAGCAAGAATGGTATATTCGGTAGTTTTGAGGAATTTAGGTAGTTGGAAAGGAGGGAAGTAGACTATAAGAAAGGATAAAAATCATGTACATCTGGTACAAAATTTAATGTCGCATTGTGTAGTTAGGGAAACATTTTCTTCTCAACTGGTTAGGCGGTCCTTGAGCTTGTAATGTAATTTAATTTGTGAATTTACACAAACTTGATGTTCATTAATAGATTTTTTTTTTACTTACCAAAAAGGTTTCACCCCAAGATTATGCTTTGCCACATAGATAAAGCACTTTGTTAGCTTATGGTTGGAATATCCAGTTATGCTCTCTTGAGTATGAAATTATGATATTTTCAGAGGTAAGTTTGTGCCTTAGCATACAGCAGGTTACATGTCATATTTAATTAAAACACACATAAGATGGAAGTGGTACTTTATATCCAAGTAATATTTTTATTTTGAAACTTAATGTCTCTAATTGGACTATCCTCTTTGACAGATTAGTGAAGCAGAATTGTCATCCTTGAGTCAACAGAGGAAGATTGAAGAACTCGAAGCTCAACTTCAGGAAGCAGAAGATATTGTATATGATATCAGAGTAGAGTTGAGAAAAGTTCAAGCTGAACTTGAGAGAGTGAGCTGCAACAAAGAGAAGGATGTACACAACTTGCAGGATCACGATACTGCTACTCCTGGAGAACTACCAGAGGAGAATATAGTCTCATTGCCTCCCGAATCACAGTATGATTATGTGACAACTTCTAACATGAAGGTAGCCAATATGAACCAGAATATTGAGGGCTACCAGTCTTGCCACGCAAAGGTTAACATAAGAAGTCCTTACATTGCTAGTGGGAATTTGCCCTCTTTAAGTTTGAGAAGCAAAGCACCAGAATTATACCAAAATGGATGTACGCAGAGACTTCCTGCTTCCGAAGGAAACCTATTAGATAGGGAAATCCGTCATGAAAATATATCTCCCAAACATATTCCAAATATTAGAACCGATTGTTGCTTGAGATCTCATGTAACTAAAGCCAGAGACAATGTTCCTAGTGAAGATCCTTCTGAGACGGCCCAAATATTATACACAGGAAAAGCTGAACCAGGCATGAAGATCGGATTCACAGAAACTTCAGATGATAAACCAGGGTCCGTTGAGGCAACTGGTGTTCATAATGCAATAGATGAGCATGCAGGATTAACGGGGAAGATGGATATTTCAGAACAAGATAATAGATCTGTGGAGGGCTTAGAGGTTCCTGCTTACAAAATAGATATTGATAGTGTTTGCAATCAGTTGTTCTATCTGAAAAATCTTTGCAATCAGTTGTTAAACTCAAAATCTACGGTATCTAATCTAAACAATGAGAATCCTAGTCAGCCTCTAAATGATAGAGTGATTAAATACACATTCCAAAGAAAGAGGAAGAGGGATTTGTGTAGGGTATCTGCTGAAAATGCTTCAATTGAGAAGAATTCCTTGAAGAAAACAAATGAGGAGAAACTAAATAATCTTCTGGAACCTCAAAAGTTGACAGTGACAGAATCATCAGAAGACAGTGGGAAAATTGCAGAGGTTGCTCAGCAGGTTAGTTATTTGATTGCTGTTGATGTTTCTGCCTATCTTTGTGTATGCCTTTAAATGTTTATGACTGGTACACCTTCAATATGAGATATGCACTACAAGAAATTTTCGGACGTGCTTGGAGCGAAATGTTTAAGAATAGATGAGTTAGATCAGATAGAAGCCTAAATTCCTATAATCAGTGCAAGTTACAAAAGGTATTCTCTCCTTCATTTTTTGATGTCATGGTGCACTTGCTCATTCATTTAGCTAATGAAGTTAGGATTGCCGGGCCTATTCAATAGCGTTGGATGTATCCAATGGAGCAATGACACTGAAGTCTTTTATTGGTAATAGGGCTGGCCCAAAAGGTACTACTGCCGAGGGATGTTTAGCAACTAAATTTATGACCTTATGTTAAAGGTATTTGCATACGATGGAGACAAAATTTATTCAATTTGGACGAAATGATTGAATATTGTGGAGGTTTAATAATTTATGGTCAATCCTTTTCAAAAATATAATTTGTGGTCAATCCAGAAGAGCTTTAGGGGCTAGCAAACAGTGGAAACTTGATTCATATGAACTAGAGCAGGCACATTTTATATTACTAGTTTCTGGGCCTGCGCTTTGCGCGTTAGCCATATCATTAGTACATTATTAAAAAACACATAAATATTACTCATACTCCATAGATAATATTCCCTCCATCCCAATTTATGTGGAGGTGTTATGTCGATACAGAGTTTATGAAAGAAATGAAGACGTTTGAAACTTGTGGTCTAAAACAAACAATACATATTTGTGTGGCTGTAAATCAATTCATTAAGGGTAAAGTAGGAATTCTAAAGATAAATTATTTCTAAATAAGGAAAGGTAACATTCTTTTTGGGGCTGACTAACAAGGGAAAAGTACCACATAAATTGGACGTAGGGAGTGTATTTAAGTTATAATATAAAATAAATAAATAAGATTAAGTTCTTGAAAATAACTCAATGATGGAAGAAATTTGAAACGGGATAAAAGCAAGCTCAAGTTAATAAATGATGAGCTTATTGAAGTGACGTAATTGTTAAGAATCATACATGAAGTTGATGTCGAATGAAAGTAATATTTGTTAGAAGTTGTACAATAATTCGATCAACATATATCTTCCTCAGAATGACTAGTAAATCATTGTCAGTTTCGTGGTATATACCTGCAAAGAAGTAGTAGTAATTATGATAGGGATATCTAATAGATACTGATATCAGATAATTTAATTGATAAATATAAATCATTATTTCACGTACATGTGCATACTTTCTAATTCAAAATTATGAGTCTTTCCATATAAAAACTAGGAGAAAGAATATTTGTTGATTTGTACAAATAATAAAGGGACACCTAACAATCTAGGTTGAGAAGACTTTTTGACCGAACTCTTAAAGGATATAAGGAATGAACAAAACCTTTTACTGAATAAGACCTTATCTTGCAATAATTTGTACAGTCATATAAAGTGAAAAGGGACTAATTGAGAAAAAGAAGAAAAGATGAAATTTATGGCATCTTTATGATATGGACATTGCCAAACAGGTGACAGAAATAAAGAAAGGAAAATGAGCTGCAGTCTCTAAGAGTTGTACTAATGACGGCAAACTTAGTTTTTTTATGAAGTAAGATGTTATATAACTGGCATCAAGAAGATGCAGAGAATTACAAAAGAAAATTGGAATAGCTGTTAATACAAAATCCTACAAAGTGCTGGGAGCTGATTCCAAAACCAAAAAAAATGATGTTAGGCCATAGTAAGAGAACTAATGAAATCTAAAAGGGGGAGAATATCATTTATAGGGCTTAAATTACTCCAACTGAAAAGATTCATTAGACATTTAGATTTCAGAGAACAGTTAGGAGTGGAAATGCCATAAAAACATCTGTGATTTCTCCATGTCCAAATACACCGAAATATGCATGTTGGGATCGTCCTCCACATCTTCATGATGGATATATCAACTTTCCAGGAGTTCCAACTTTCCACTCCTTTATACTCTGAGGGAATGTCCAACTGATGCCACAAACTGATAGGAACATGAAACAGAGAATTTTGCTTCTTTTTCCATTATTTAAATGAGGATTAATGAAGATAGTACTTCCCAAATGATGATGCCTAGTGCATGAGTATTGATTTCTAGATAGTTCCCCAACATGACTTTACCTAGAATAATGCAGAAATCCAAAGGTCTAGAAGATAGACCACATTTCTTGAAGTCCTGAAACAAAATAATAAAGGGAACAAAAATAAGCTAGTCTAAAGGAAAAGAAATAGACTTACATGTTTGTGTAGTCATGCCTGAGCAAAACACACCAAAGAAAAGAGCAGTAGGCTTTTATGGGAAAAATAAAGCTTCTGACCGAGAGAAGAGGGAAAGGATAAAGTAATGAACTATAATTAGCTATGTTACGCAGACTCTCCAAAATGTTGCCGTACCCGTGTCGGATCCTCCAAAAATACACTACTTTTGGAGGATCCGACACACACCCGACGATATTTTCGGAGAGTCCGAGCAACATAGATAATTAGACACTTTGTTGTCTACTTTTGTAAGAATGTCTAGTGTTGTGAAGAGCGTGAAGCGAGGAAAAATGACAACCCACATTTCGCTTAAAGCGAGAAGCGAGAAGCGAAGTGCTCGCTTTTTTGAAGTGAAGCGGAATTTTAAAAAAAATTATTAAAATAAGAGGAAGGGCAGTATACCATTTTGTTAAAAACTGGGCAGCATAAAAACAATGAAAGAGGAACTGGGCAGCACTTCAGCGAAGAGGAGAAGACTTAGAAAGAAGAACGGAAGGTAAAAAAAAATAATTCGCCAGCATTTCACTGTTATTTGGACGCTGAAACAGTGAAAGAAAAAGAAGAAGAAGAAGAAGGAGGAGGAGGAAGAAATCATCACATACCTGTTGCTGCTGAATCTCTGTTGAAGTTAAAAAGGGAACCCTAGTCGCTGTTGTTTCTGATGTTTTAATAAAAGAACACTGAACACCCTTCTTTTTTAATTAAATAGGCTGGCGGCTGTTTAAAACAAAGAAGCGCACACTTCGCTCGATTCGCTTCGCTTCGTCGCTTCTCGCTTTTTAGTGGGAAGCGCACGCTTTTGTCTACTTCAGTCGCTTCATATAGCAGAAACCAGTAAGGGGTCGCTTCGCTTCGCTTCTCGCTTTAAGCGAGGAAGCGAGCGCTTTTCACATCCCTGAGAATGTCGAAAGGCTGTGCAAATATATGGAAGCTGAAGTAACAACAATAAAAGCTCGAAATGTGAAAAGGTTGTAAAGAATGATTAAGAAAATTTATAACATCCTACAATAACTATTGGCAGATGAAACAATTCTTCACATCCAACTCAATGTAACAAAAATTAATCATTTCATGGAAGGTAATTCTTTTTTGAAGGACAAAAGCTTGATAAAGATATGGACATTGAGCCTAACTCAACCCCAAAAGCTAGCTCATACGGTGATGATTGCTCAAGCTATATAAGGAGACCAAGTCCCCCATCCCTTAGCCGATGTGGGAGACTCAACCCCCCCCCCCCCCTCCCCCGCACGCCCAGACTTGCGAACTGGAGCGTGGACAATATAATATGGGGGCCCAACATTGGTAAAACAAAGAATTGGGATGGGTCCGGCTCTGATACCATAATAAAGATATAGACATTGGGTCTAACTCAACCTCAAAAGCTAGCTCATGAGGTGAGGGTTGCTCAAGCCATATAAGGAGACCAAAGTCCCCCATCCCTTAGCCGATATGGGAAACTCAACAATGGTCACTCAGATTTTAAAGGATTTGTTTGTAAATCAACTTTGGAGTTAGGGTGTTCCCACTTTTAGTATAGTACTAGTTTCTCGACACATGCATTGCACGTGTATGCATGGTCATATAGTAAACGGATTGTAAAATAAAATTGATACAACTAAAACAGAAGTTTTGAGTAAATAATTATACATGAAGAACAAAGTAAAAGTTTCTTTCTCATCAATAACGATTCTTCTAATATATCAAATATTTAGCTTGACTATTTCTTGTTTTGGGATATTTCAACAAAACATTTTAATTGTAAATATGAGTAACATCAACTATGATGGCAAATATTTCATGTCTTAAAGTTTCTGCCATGTCTTAAGAAATTATAGCCTCCCAAATCCAGAATGTAAAAATCTCATTGGACAAGAACATAAGCTTATAATGAGAAAGAACCTACCTGCATAAATGCATTGAATTCTCTAATTAGGTGAGAAGAATAATCCATAGCTTAATAAATGAAATAGCTTACGTAGAGTGAAATCTTTTCAATAGTCACGCTTACAAAGGAAATATCAACAACTTACATCCTTCAAGTCTATCTTGGAAGAAGTGTAAAGTCGATAAAGGGAAACAATTTAGAAATTAATCTTCACTCATCACAATTCACATGCATAACACTCTCCAAAACTGTTTACTCTACAGCTTCCTAAGAATATTTCCTATCTTGCAGCAGCTATGTATTCAACATATTCGACTCCGCTGCGACTTAATTGCTAACTCTTAAATCTCACTTAGACAAGAGAAAAAGAAAAAAAAAGTTACTCTAACCTCATAGAAGTAATTCTGGTGGTGAGATCCCTAAGAGTGACATATGAATCTCTTCCACTTAGAAATATTTTCAATCTTTAATGCATGAACTGAAGAGCCTTGAACACAAGTTATCAACAAAATCATGTCATATAAATACTATATGGTTGAATATTGTATCATCTTGACTTCAGAAATTAAGATTCTAACTAAAAATCTAACGTCCATATACCAATGACTTTAATATTTTCACTTGGATGCTTGAAAAAGGAATAAATATTACATGGCCAATTGACAGCGGCATTGCCAAATGCAAAGTCAATCTCAATTTTCAAGTTCAGTATTGTTTTTCTACCAATGTGTTATGAGATCCAAAAATATCTGTCTCAAATAGGTCTTCTTAGTAGCGTTTAACATACACTTCTATATGCA